TGGCCTGCTGTGTTCATCCAGCTCTGCACCTTGTTGTCTCAGATTCTCCAGCATCTGCAGTTCCTACTATCTCTGAAGTATTTTATATATTGTCAAACTTGGTTCAGGGTAAGCAAAATCATCAATGGGCAATTTAATATACTTGCTGTTACTAAGCAGGAATAATTATTCTCAGATACTTTTGAAGAGAAGCTTACCAAGGGGTGAAACTAGTTGGTCAACCAAACCCATCTTCTTAGCTTTATCTGCCCGGATATTTTTCCCAGTCAACATCATATCAAAGGCATTCGGAAGACCAACCTGATAATAAACCATTTAAAGGGAAAAATCAGGTCGTTGACATACTACATCTATAACACAGAAATGGATCATTCAATTCAAATAACCGATGCCAGTATTTATGTTCCATACTAGTTTTCTCCAAACCTACTTCCCCTACCCCGAGAAGCAGATGCTGCTAATGCTTCCTCCTTCATGTGTTTTTCTAGCTATTTCTCTCAAGTATTCCTTGTGCTGGCAAGTTCTATACTCTTACCACAGCAGTTATAGTGACATAGAGCACAGAAACAGATTCTTTGGTCCAACTCGTTTGTGCTGACCAGACATCCCAATCTGACCCAGTCCCATTTGTCAGTGTTAGGCCCAAATCCCTCTAAACCGTTCCTACTCATATATGATGCCTTTTAAATATTGTACTTGCACCGCCTCTGCCACTTACTCTGGCAGCTCGTTCCTCTGCATGAAAACATTACCCACAGGTCCTTGTTAAATCTTTTCCATCTCACCTTTAAACCTATGCCCTCTAGTTTTGGACTCCCCTAACCTCGGCAAAAGACCTTGGCAACTCACCCTATCAATGCCCCTCATGATTTTATAAACTTCTATAAAGTCAACCTCCGATGCTCCTAGAGAAAAAAGCCCCAGCTTATTCAGTCTCTAGTGAGAATTCAAATCCTCCAACCCTGGCAACATCCTTGTAAATCTTTTCCGCACCCTCTCAAGTTTAAAAACATCGTTCCTACAGAAGGGTGACCAGAATTGTAAGTAGTATTCTAAAAGTGGACTCAACAATGTCCTGTACAGATCCAACATAACATGCTAAGTCGCACACTCAATGCACTGGCCAATGAAGGCAAGCATGCCAAATGCCGCCTTCACCACCCTGTCCACCTGCATCTCCACCTTCAAGGAACTATGCACCTGCACCTCTTGTTCTCTTTGCTCTGCTACACTCCCCAGGGCCCTAGCATTAACTATAAAAGTCCTAGCCTCGTTTGTCTTACCAAAATGCAACACCTCTCATGTATTTAAATTAAACTCCATCTGCCACTCGTCAGCTCGTTTGCCTATCTGACCAAGGTCCCATGGTACTCCGAGGTAATCTCCTTCACTGTCCACTACACCACCTATTTGGTTTTATCTGCAAACTTACTAACCATACCTCCTATATTCACATCCGACTCACTTACATAAATGACAAAAAGCAGTGGACCCAGCACCGATCCTTGTGGTACACAGCTGGTCACAGGCCTCCAGTCCAAAAAGCAACCCGCTGTCTCTTACATTCAAGCCAATTTTGTACACAATTGGTAAGCTCTCCCTGGATCCCTTGTGATTCAACCTTACTAATGAGTGTACCTTGTCAAACACTTTGTGAAGTCCATACTGCTCTGTCTACATCAATTCTCCGTCACCTCTTCAAAAACTCAATCATGTCAGTCAGACACGATTTCCCATGTGGACTAACCTTAATCATTTCCTTGCCTTTCCAAATGCATGTAAATCCTGTCCCTCAGAATCCCCTCCAACAACTTCTCAACGGGGAGGATGAGCAGCCAGAAGTCATTGTGTACACTGGCACAAATGACATAAGTAGAAATAGGATGTGGTCCTGCGGAATGATTGTAGAGGGCTAGGAAAAATTTCAAAAACCACAACCTCGATGATGGTAATCTTCCAGTGCCACGTGCTAGTGAGGGTAAGAACAGGACGATATGGCAGATGAACGTGTGGGTAAAGAATTGGTGCAGGGGACAGGGATTTAGATTCCTGGAACATTGGGATCTTTTCCAGGGCAGAGGTGACCCATTCAAGAGGGACGGTTTGCACCTGAACTGGAGGGGGAAAATATCCTGGCAGGCAGATTTGCTAGCGCTACAAGGAAGGGTTTAAACTAGATTGGCAGGGGGTGGGATCCTCAACAGCAGGGATGGAAATGCGAGGCTGGCAGGAGATACAGTAATCAGAAATAGCGAGTTGAAGAGACAGGTTAGGCTGGAACAGGGCAGGGAGCGAGAAATGTGCGTTGGATTAAATTACATCTATTTCAACGCAACAGGGCTGACATAAGGCCAATGAACAGGTACGTGGGACTGAGAAATTATAGCTATTACAGAAACATGGCTAAGGGAGAGACAGGACTGGCAGCCTAATGTGCCAGGGTACAGGTGCTTTAGGCAGGACAGAGGTAGAGGAAAGAGAGGAGGGGGAGTTTCATTTTTTATTAAGGAGAGTATCACAGCCGTAGTCAGAGATGAAATAACTGAGGGATCATCTAGTAAGGCTTTGTGGGTGGAGCTAAGAAATAAGAAGGAGATGGTGATGTTATTGGGGTTGCACCATATGCCCCCAAATAATCAACAGGAATGAGAAGAACAAAAATGCAGGGAGATTAGGGAGACTTGCAGGAGCAATAAGGTTGTCATAGTGGGGGATTTTAATTTTCCTAACACAGGCTGGGATTGCCACAGTGTTAATGGCTCAGATGGAGTGGAATGTGTGTTCAGGAAGGTTTCCTCAAGCAACACATAGAGGTCCTACTCAGGAAAGGACAAAACCTGGCCTACTGTTGGGAAATAGGGCAGGACAGGTGACTGAGGTGACACTGGAGGAGCACTTTGGGAGCAGTGACCATAGTTCTACTAATTTTAAAATAGTTATGGAGGGGGACAAAACTGGTCCATAGGTTCAAGACCTAAATTGGGGCAAGGCGAATTTTGATGGAATCAGGAACTTGCAGGGGTTGATTGCAGTAGTTTAAAAGTACGATAGCTAGAGCTCAAGATCTATATGTTTCTGTGAGGGTGAAGGGTAAGGTTGGCGAGAATAAGGAACCCTGGATGACAAGAGATATTGAGGCTTTGACTAGAGAGGAGGAGGAGGCATGGCTCAGGTACAGGCAGCTGAGATCAAGGGAATCCCTGGAGGTATATAGGGGATACAGCAGTTTACTGAAGGAGGAAATCAAGATGGCGAAGGGGGGCAAAAGATAGCTTTGGCTGATAAGGTTAGAGTGAACCCAAAGAGGTTCTTTAAGTATATTGAAGGAAAAAAAACAACCAGAAAGAGAATAGGACACCTTAAGGACCAAAGTGAATATGTATGTATGGAACCGGAGGAGATGGCCGAGGTCCTCAATGAATATTTTTCTTCTGTGTTTACTGTGGAGAAAGACATGAAGACTTGGGAACTTGGGAAGTTAGTGGCGATATCTTAGGGACAGTCCAGATCACAATAAAAGTGGTGTTGGAAGTATTAGAATGTATGAAGACAGATAAATCTCCTGGTCCGGATCAGATGTATCCAAGAACCCTGCAAGAGGCTAGGGCAGAAGTTGCGGGGGCCCTGGCTAACATATTTGCATCATCGTTAGCCATAGGTGAGATCCTGGAAGACTGGAGGGTAGTGAATGATATGCCCTTATTAAAGAACAGCTGCAAAGAAAAACGTGAGAACTATAGACCAGTAGGTAAGTTACTCGAGAAGATCCTGACGGATAAGATATACATGCATTTGGAAAGACAGGGTTTAATTAGGAGCAGTCAGCATGGCTTCATGCATGGGAGATCATGCCTCACAAATTTGTCAGAGTTCTTTGATGAAGTGACCATGAAGGTTAATAAGGACAGTCAGTAAACAGTCTATATGGATTTCAGTAAGGCCTTTGATAAGGTTCCACATAGTAGGCTGCTCTGGAAGGTTAGATCACATGGAATCCAGGGATAGCTGGCAAATTGGATACATAAAAAATAGAAGTTGCAGCAGGATCATATCACCTGGGGAAGAGGGCTGAGAAATGGCAAATGGAGTTTAATACAGATAAGTGTGAAGTGTTGCATTTTGGAAAGTCAAATCAAGGTCAGAATTTCAAGGTGAATGGTGGGGCCTTAAGGAGTTCAGGTGCACGGTTCTCTGAAAGTGGAGTCACAGGTAGACAAGGCAGTGCAGAATGCTTTTGGCACACAGAGTATAGAAATTTGGAAGTTTTGTTGCAGTTGTACAGGACATTGGTGAGGCCACACTTGGAGTATTGTATTCAGTTTTGGTCACCTTGCTATAGGAAAGATGTTATTAAACTGGAAAGAGTGCAGAAGAAATTGACAAGGATGTTGCCATGGCTCAAGGGACTGAGTTAGAGGGAGAGGTCGGACAAGCTAGGACTTTTTTCTTTAGAGCGTCGGAGACTGAGGGGGGATCTTATAGAAGCGTATAAGGTCATGACAGACATGGATACAATGAATGCATTCAGTGTTTTTCTCAGCATTGGGGAATCGAGGACTAGAGGGCATCAGTTTAAGGTAAGGGGGATAGAATACATGGGAACCTGAGATGCAACTTTTTTTTTTTTTTCAAACAGAGGGTGGTACACATATGGAATGGGCTGCCAGTGGAGTGGTTGAAACAGGCACATTAACAACATTTAAAATGGATTTGGATGGATATATGGATAGGAAGGATTCAGAAGGATATGGGTCAAGTGCAGGAAAATGGGGTTAGCGTGGTTGGACATTTTGGTCGGCACGGACCAGTTTGGGCCGAAGGGCCTGTCTCCGTGCTGTAGGACTCTGACTCTATAACTTACCCAACTCTGACAGAAGGCTCTCCGAGCTATAGTCCCCCAGCTTTTCGCTTACAGTCTTTCTTAAAATAATGGCACCTCATTAGCCAACCTCTAGTCTTCCACCATCTACCAATGGCTGTCAATGATACAAATATCTCAGCAAGGGGCTCAGCAATTTCTTCCCTAGCTTCCCACAAAATTCTAGGAAACACCTAATCAGGTCCCGGGGATTTATCTACCTTTCTGCATTTTAAGACTTCCAGCGCCTACTCTTCTGTAATATGAACTCTTTCATTCCCTAAATTCCTGAGCTTCCATAACCTTTTCCACAGTAAATACTGACAGGCCCTGTTTTCTCCCTAGTTACTCTATTGCCTTTAATGTACTTACAGAACCTCTTTGGATTGTCCTTAACCCTATTCGCCAAAATTATCGCATGTCCCCTTTTTGCCTGATTTCC